TTATTGTACGTAGGGTAATTTGACATTCCCTTAAGTGTAATACTGAATTTTCAGTTGATAAAACCGCCTGAAAATGAAATTATTATAGACTCGTAAAACTGTGATATTTTAACTTCCTGGCCTTTTGCAATTTTTTTTTTGCAAATATGTTGAAGTCGAAAAACTTTTTTTTGTCTGAGCCATTGGGTTCCGATCCCTCTATCTTTATTTGATTTTGAGGATGGTCCAAAATTGTTAGCGTACTTGACTGTTTTCGATCTCGGTTAAGAATTAAATCCGTGTTCATGCATTTTGGCATATCCTTTTGGGTGTCATAAAGAACCGCTATTCATTGTAGTACATTTGTAGGATAATATTCGTAATCTAATTTTTTAGTAATATTAAACAAAGTTTACTGCTCAGTATAAAAAATTTTAGGTAAACTTCACAAAATTTTAAGCGTTATAAAAGCTTTAAAGAAAATATTGTTTTAAAGCACGAAGAAACGGGTTTATTTTATTTCTATGTTTTCAAACGTTTGGCCTATTACACCTTTGTTTATATCTACTTTTGATTCTCTGGAATTTTTAGTACGATAGGCATTGACTTAATTTCATTCCTACAATAAGTGCTTTTTGCATTGATGCCTTTTTGTTCTAAGGACTTATCAATTCTAAACGATGTTCCTAATTTGAAAACTATGCCTGCTGGAGAAATTGAAATTACGCGGGATGATTTTGGTGCAATAGTTATATTTTTATCGAGAAGTACATTTTGATAAAAACTTAGATATGGATAACTTTTGCTTCTTATAATACTGATAGGAACTGTTAAATCTGGGTACTTTTTTAATTCTAAGTTTAAATTTGGAAAGTTTATTGATTTAATGTTGTGAGAAATGAAATTCATTCCTAATATATTTAGATCGCATCCGTTCTCAGCTGAAATCCATGCTTTGATTTTTACCGGATTATCAGTGTTTGTACCAAAAGTTGAGTCAAAATTGGTATAACCTATAAGTTTAAGCTTTTCTCCATTAACAGCAACTGTGTTTGATCTAGATTTATTCAGCTGTAGAGGCTGTATTTTACAATATTGTTCATAACTGTCAAAATTAATAAGTGAACATGTTGCTCCAGTGTCTAGTAGAAATTGGGTTTCCAGACCGTTATTTTTATTTTTGTCTCCGACGGGATGTTGGTATAAGTTAATGTATAATTGTATTTTTGGTTCGGACGGAGACTGATCTAGTTTAAATTAACAAGTTCACACTCATTATCGGTATAGTCTCCTGGAATGTCATCATCACTAAAGTTGTGGATCTGGTAAGGTGAATAATAATCGTTATTTTCGTTGAAGGGTTTTTTACTGTTTGACCTGTCACGCGATTGAGAACTTTCCTTGACGTTTGACAAATGCCTGAATTCTTGTTGGGGATTTATATCATTGAAATTGTTGTCTACTCTTGACCTACTCTTGCTATAGTTATGATAACTTCTGTTTGAATTCTCTCTTAATTGAAGCGAGTCATAATTTTGCTCCTGTTGATCGTTATATTTGAAGCAATGTCTTATCGTATGGCCTGACATGCAACACCAATTGCAAAACATTGGGTTGTTTTGTTTGTTTCTATGCTCATGTGGATTATAAGCTGCGTTTATTTTATGATCTTTCATTAGTCCTGTTAACTCTTTAATTTGATCCTTTATTCCCTCTATTTCCAATTTATTATCTATGCTACTGGATGCTGTTCCGATAAACTCACTACTTATTGCAAAACTTAAGTCTTTTGTAGCAATATGATCTTTTAATTGTTGCCAAGTTGCGGGTGGATTCTCAATTAGCAATTGATGAGCCTTTTGTATCAAGCCTGGCGGATTTAAGCCGCGTACAAAGAATTCCATTTTCTTTGCTGTTCTTTGATCATCATTAAAAGTTGGATTAGGCCATCCACGGTCTACTGCAGTGCTTAATCTATGTATGTAGCTTTTAATGAATTCATCAGGTTGTCTTTTTATGTTTTCTGCTTCTATTCGTCTCCTATATTTATCCTTATCATCAGTGAATCTATCTATGAATTGATCTCTTATATCATTCCAAGGTAAGTTTGCTGCTAATCCCTGATACCATTGAGCGGCTGGACCTCTTAATATTGAACCAAATAAGGCTCTTTGTCTGTTATCATATGCGTCTTGTTCGTCACCTGCATCTCCTGGTCTAGTGCCTAGGGAAAATGCTATCTTTTTCTCTACTATATCAAGAAAATCTCTTGCATCCTCATTCGGATCTAAGCCGGTAAACTTTTCGAGAGCTAAATCTGGGTATACTACTACGTTTGCCATTTTTGTTTAATTCACTCAATGTTTTCTTAACAATATATAAAGGGTTTGGATGTGTTCTGTACTGATCAATTGTACGGACTAAAATATTTGTATTTAAGTTACAAGGAAGTTTGCTGGTTTCAATGAATACGAGTTTTTGTTAGATAGATCAATAGTGCTATGGGGCTGTTTAAGCTTTTTTAAGATAGAAGTTATCTCTGGGGTATTGCTGCTGGAAAGAATAGTTAATTCGTGAATATTTTTGTGTGGGTGTTTGGACAAAATTGTGATTTGATCTTTTTGGATATTGGTGATATACCAAATAATTTTTGTGGATTTATTTTTTAATTTTAGTTTTAAATAAAATGGTGTTGTATTTACTTAATAAAAGTTGGTCATAGCATTTTACATCCTTTTAGGGACATAAATAATTATCTAGGGAATGATAAACAATATAAAAAATATTTAAATTTTTCTTATGAACTTGTTATGATTTTTAATTTTTGTTTAGGAAAAGTTTGTGTTTTTAATAAAAAATGATTAAAATGCAAGTAGTTTTGTGCTTTGGTATATTATGATATCAAAAAGCAATCGGGAGTGAAGCAATTAATCGCTCTTCCGGTATACAAATTATGTTATTTGGTATTTTTATTTGCTGAAGAATTGTGTCAATTTCTGGAGTATATCGTCAAAAGAAGACGTATAATTCGTGTTTATCTTCGTTAGGGTGTTTTGCTAGTATACTAAAATGATTTTTTTCAGTGTTAGTGATATACCATATGATGTTATAGACTTTATTTCCTAATTTGAGCTTTAAATTTATTGTACTGACGTCAATTTTAAAATGTGTTGACATTAATTTCACGATGTTTGTTTTCTTTTTCCTCAGCCAAGTTGTACTATTTGATTAGTATGTCTTAGAGTAATGAAAACCTCTTAGGAATTATTGAATATTAACAAAGTTTTTAATAATAAGATAAGGAAATAAAAAAATTTCTTTGGAAAAAAAATTTTTCTAAAATTTTTTCTAAGTTTTTCAAGTATTGTATTCGCTGAAACCTTAACTGAAACCTGAAACTTTGTTCAAGTGAAGTTTTGTTGATGCTATGGTATGGTTAACAATATAACTATATGCCTTTATTGGTTATTATTCGTTCAAAACTTAATTTTTTGGTTAAAAATTTTTAGAAAATTTTTTGACTGAAACGATAATCTGAAACCTGAAACTATGGTAGCTGAAGTTGAATTTTTTTAATCTTCTATACGCTGTATTATATCTGGTTTTCGCTTTAACTTGCAAAAAAATTCGAGAAAACCGAATCTTTTGATATCTTAAACTTAGTTTTTGAAAACTCAAACCTAAAACTCTTAAACTCTCTCAAACTCGGTGCATGAAAATAAAAGTTGGTTTTTGATAGCTGGTTTAGTGTAAATTAGAATTTTGAACAGGTTTGTAACTTCAAAATCAAAAATTTGTTTGCGGAAAGCTAAGTTTTTGGGGCTGAAACTATGATTTCTAGAACTGAAACTATGGTTTGACCACTTGGTTTTAGAGTTTTGAGATTGAAAATTTAGGTTGGTCTCTCTGATATATTTCTATTCCAGCAATAAAATTGCCAAAAAGATGAAAATTTTAGCCTAAAACGACGATTTTAGTTTTCTGAAACTATAAGTTTGAGGGCTCAAACTAACACCTTCTAGAAGTTTTTTGAGTTGAAAAATTTGTTAGTGCATTAAGGATTCCTATTATCTTTCAATATTTCACAAAAATTTCACTTGGGAAGCAAGATTTTTGGGTCTGAAACCAAAAACACCAATTCTGAAACGTACGTTTCAGCCTTAGGAACCAAAATTTAAAATTGGTTTGGTGGGTTTTAACACCGTTAGTTTTCTCTAGAAAGTCAAAATTCGGCGTTCGGAGCTCAATTTTGAGACCAAAAACTCAATTTTTGTGTTCTGAAACCTGAAACTAACAAAAACGTACCATTTAAGACCAGGTTTTTGACTTATGGTATCCAAATTTGGGTTTGACTAGTTCAACTTTTGCTGTTTTACCCGAATCCGTTTACAGAAACTTGAAATTTTGACCGGAAACTATACTTATTTTAACTGAAACGTTTGACCCTATAACTGAAAACTAGACTGAAACCAAAAATTTTGGCTGGTAAAAATCAATTTTTTATTGCTTATGCTATCATATGAAACCTATTTTATCAATATAAAGTGGATGTGTCAGTGTTTTAAACTTAGTTTTTGTTGTAAAACCTGATATTTTTATGCTGAAACTAAAACTTGGTGTTTGGTGTTACGTGGTTAACGTTTAAGATTGGTTTTAGTGCGTAATCTTATTGTTTATTAGGTGTATATTTAAACTGTGTTAAAAAAAACTAATGATTTATCAAAAAACACTCAAATCCGTTCCTTCCTTTTTGGTTTTTGTTATTTTCTTCCTTAGTTTCAGTAATTGGTAGCTTTACTGATGGATGATTTAGGTTTAAGTTACTTTAAGGTGGTTAGAATTAAAATGAGTTTAAGAAAATTTGAGGATAAGCCTCGAGAATTGATGAAGGATTAGGATAAATAGCAACAACCGTGGATGGTTTGAGATAATGTGATGAAGAATTCAATTTATCATACAATTTAGGGTACTCTTAGATCGCACATATGACCACTTAACCCCCTCGAAAAAATAAATGAAGATATTTAATAAGTTTTTGAGCACTTTAGTTTAATACAGAATTTCGTTAATTTTAGTGATGATAACTTTAAACTGAAGTTTCGGCAAAACTTTAGTGGATTACTGGACAAAACGGGTATATCTTACTAGCGGACTTAGGCAGAGAACGATTCTTTCAGAAATTTTATATATTATTATAATAATAGATAATAGTTAAGTTCATGAGCTAATGTCAGTTAGAAAGCCGTCTAATAGACCTCGAGATGGAGGGATATCGTGGGCGACTGCTAGCGCAGGGGATGCATTTCGCAAGAACCCTACTAGGAATATCTGTCAAGTAGAAGACAATGAAATTGTGTTTCTATCGAAAGATACCCATTGTCTCTGGCTTTTTGAGGTTGGAAACTAATCTGACAAATACTCACAGATCCTAATAATAATATATTTTTTGAATTTTAAAAGCTGTTTCTAGTTTGTTGGAAAAAGAATTTCTTAAGGAGTAGTATTCGATAACTTGACTGCCCAAATAGCCCCACTGCGGTACTAATTTCCCACTGCGGAACTTATTTTTTTTTGCCGCCGAAAACACTGCAAAAATTTAAAAAAAAAAGGTCCAAAGGTACCAAAAAATTGTCGAAACTTTTTTCAAGGTTCATGAAAATCTGATCTCTCGAGAAAATCTTAAATCCACTCCAGGCAAAAGGGTCGAATAATGCAGTACGAGGAAATTTTTTCAATCAATACGCACAAAAAAAAACAATTTACAAAAAGTTCTAAAAAAATGGGTTGACTGCTTTCGATAGACTAGCTTTCATAAAACTTGTTTTTCCCAAATGATGCTGGTAAAGTGAATTCGCGTCTGCTATTGATATCGCTTCATAATGAAAAGATCTTTTTTGTATTAATCTCCAACTTAACTGACCCTTTTCTATTTTATTGCTCCAGTTATCCAAAAAAAGGTTGTTAATTTCACCCTGGTATTATAATCGCTGAAACTGAAATACAATTCATCGACAATTCTGTTATTTCATGTCCAAGCAAAACATTCAATTACATTAAATAGCATCAAAATATGATATGAGACTCGCAGACAACAGAACTTGGAATCCTCAAGAATTCATTAAGCGTCGTTCTCTAAGCGACGAGCTGAGGAAGTTTTAAAACAAAATAATTAAAAAGTAATCGAAATAACTTTGCATACTTTTTTAAATTTCCAAAAACTCAATAGTAAATCCATTAACTTCAACTTTCCTAATTGAATCAGCAGAACAAATATTATATATCAAGGAATATTCAGGTGGGTCTACCTAACTTTATAATAAGGTAACTAAATTTAATTTGGAAAAAGATCTTTTTTTTTTTTAAGAATGTCCTACAAACTAAAATTTCAGAATTATAGAGATACACAGGCTCTATAGAGATACACAGGCTCTACAGACAAAACTTTCAAATATGAGGTGAACCAAATAGATTTTTAAAACATTCAGAAAAAAAATCAAATTTCGCCGTTTTCGTTTTTTAATCAGTTTTAAATAAATTACAAACAAAACTTCAAAATCTCGAAAGTTTGAAGCTTCCCTTTTATCCTCAAAAATCATGAAACCAAAGGAATTGTGTAACACTACTTCAACAACGGGTTCACGTTTCAACAAAGTAATGATTTCCAATCGATAAACACGTCTACTCAATGAAAACTTCTGAATTCAATATGAGGTTTAGTTTTTGTGAAAATGTAATGGAAACATGTTTGAAAAATGTTTAGAGCTTGCAGAATTCAATAGTAAATCCATGAATTTTAACTTTTCTAATTGAACAAGCAGAACAAATATTATATAGTATGAAGGAGTATTCAGATGGGTCTACCTAAGTACTGGGTTAAATATGGTCTACTGGATTACATATTTCTACCTGGTCTACTGGATTAAGCGTAGAGAGTCAGAATTAAAGCCAGAAACGTAGATGAAGTTTTAACTATTATTGTTCCGACCAGTAAACGTGGGGACGAAACTATTCTTCTGGTAGATTAAAGTGAAATCCCCTAGCGAAATCAAGTACAATTGAATTAAGTGATAATTAAGCCATTTCAATCAAGAGTAAAATTTGCCATTTCAATCAATCGGTTCGAAAAATTGGTTTTTTTTTCAGAGCAAGCACAGCAAACAAGAAGGCTTTAGAGAAGGAAACACTACTATTTAGGTATTGAAAATTTGGTTTTGCTCCCTGGGGCGGATCTAGGATTTTCTCGAGGGTGGGGGGTTCAAAAAAATGTCGAAAATTTTGTCGACCTTTTTTATGTCGACCAAATAGATTTTCCGAGCTCTCCCCAAACGCTAGAAAGACCCTGTACCCTGTTTTGGCCAAATTTTGTGCGCCACAGGCAAAATTTTGCAAAACCGGCCAAAAAAGGTGTTTTTAGGCACTTTTTGGAAAATTTTGACCCAAAAATCGCGTTTTTTGTCGCGCACTCAAAATTAGTATATATTGGCTCCGAAGGCTCCTTTAGAAAAATTTTGGGGTCCGACACCAAAAATGGATATCTCAAAATAATACAAAGGGGGACCCTTTGGGTCGGCAGGGGGTCATTATTTCAGTGTTGCTAATTTGATAAACTTAATGATTTTGCCGATGATAGTATGCTGCAGTTTATAAGTTTGTCACAATTTATGTTCATTCCAATCAAATCTTTTTTTGGCGTTGAACTACCTTTTCGAATCAACTTTTTGTTTATTTAAAAATTGGTTTGCTTTATAATGACTGGTTTTTCCTCTCCCCCGCACTGGATTTCGCTAATTTCTTAGATAAGTCTATTGACAATCTATTAAGGCTTAAATTTTTAAATAGCGCTTACGCGATCGAGTGGAGAAAATTCATATGAACACCTACCTATAAACTCTGAATTTTTCAAAATTCTTTATTATTTTAACTAATTATGACAAAGTTATGAGTATTAATTCAAGAATCGGTTAGATAGGATAATTAACTACCACCTAATTTGAAAGGTTTGTTATATTTGACAATTTATTTAAGAGTCAAAACGTATTATGAGTATCCTTGGGGAAGGCAGTTAATCGAGGACCATAATGACCAGGACTTTGGAAAACTAGATTTTTTTTGGTAAATCTAAAGAAGGGTTGACCGCAAAGAAGCTTGACTATTAGCCTATTTTATGTTACTGACGCTTCTTTTATCACAAAATCTGAAATAAAACTTTAAGAAAATTCGATTGTAACAAAAATGACACAGAGGCGAAACTAGGCTTGGTAAACACAAGCGTGGAATATGCAAAAAGTAGCTCTAAACGGGCAAACCAAAATGAAATAAGAAGATTAAAAATTTAAAATACACCTTGAGAAAAAAATTAGTGAGATAAGAGGTATCACTTTCGCACATCTGCTCCACGATTGCTTGAAATTTTACTAACACTAGCCACAAATAAAGCAGCTAGTTTCTATCAAACGCAGCAAAAAAATCTACCAAAAGAATTGTTCTATGTTCCAGATTATTTTAATGTTCCAGATTTGAATCTCCGACCCGTTGATTAGGAGTCTCAAGTCCTCGCATATGCGCCCAGGCCATTTGGAACTTAACTAGTGGCTCAGCTAATGCTGGATTAACCTGTTTTAATATTTTTTATATATTCTACAGATACGGAAATGCGTAATTTAAAAAAAAAATACTTAAAGCAAAACCCTACTGATTTCAGTGTTTAAGTAGGGGATAAGCCGCGTATTTAAAGAAGAAAACTACAATTCGCTCTTTCAATTGAAGTCTATCTCGGATTTGGCTGGGTAGTTTTCAAAAAAAAAAGATTCTAAAAAACGATCAAAAATTTGTTTTTTTTTCCAACATCGATAAACTTTTCTCTTCTTAAGCATGGGAATAGCCTCATATGCAGGGAAAACATCCAAATCCTAATTTTTAGATTGAACCTTTTATATCAGATTTAGCTAGCAGTTTTCGAGAAGTGATGAAAATTCTTAAAAAACTGTAAAAATTTCAAAAAATGGACTTTTCGGAAGTCAGCTAATCTACAAATCAGCTTTTCTACGAAGGAACAGAGTAAAACAGATTGCAAAGAGAAATCTAAGCAACTTGTTAGTTTGAATGAAGTATCAATCTCAGAATCAGCAGGTTATATTTTTTAAATAAAAGAATAAGAATAAAAAGTAAAAAAAAACTATAACACCCGAATATAATGTTCCTCCCCATTTTCAGTGGTCGGAACAAAAAATGAAAAGAATTTTAAAAGATTATACAGTTTTTGATGTGTTTGCGACCAAAACCGAGCAACAAAAAATTTCGGTTTGCAATAAATACCAAAAAATAATAGAAACATACCTCTGCGTGCAGTATATATAATCTGTACTACTTAACAGGAAACCAAACCGACAGGGAGTCGTTAAAATTGAAGAAAATGGCATGGGCCGACGCATATCGACAGTTTTCAACAGTAAATTAAACATAGCTTCATCAGAACTGATGAAATAAATCCTAAGAAAACCAAAAAAAAATTAAGCCATTGCAACTCAAAAACTGGAAGAATTGAAAAAAAATGTATGCTCCAATCAAACGGCTCCAGTAGCACAGAGACGGCTGAAGACGAAGAATGAGCGGAATTTCAGCTAAAAACAGCTCAATCACAATATAATAATTTCACAAATGTTTATTCAATATAGTCTTAATTGGAACAAGACTGAATATATCAGGACAAAACTCTTTGTTTTCGACTGCCTTTCAGTAATTCTGATGAAAAGTGAATAATTTTTTTTTAAAAAAAGCAGAAAAGTTCCGTTTTTCAGTGTCGTACCACAAGCAATGTCAAACAGAAAGTGACATATTTTCAGCCTATTTTTATGATATTTATACCAATTGCTTGCCTAAACTCCTTTTAAAGCCTTTACAAACCGGATTAAATGGCTACTTATACTACGCACTAAAAGAAGAATCAAAATCAGAATATTCAAACCCTATTAACTTAGAAAATGGTCGCAGGTGAAAAATCAATTAACTTTCGGCTCGGTTAATGATGGTTTCCTATGAAAAATAAAAATAATAAAAGTTGCAAAAAAAATATGAAACTCATGGCTAGAATCTGACGGCAAAAAGAAAACATTCAAAATTCAAATAAAGATCAAGTAAGCACAGAGACGAGTCAGGAAAGAAAACAATCTATAAAAACGGACTACATCATTCAAAACACGGTCATTCTCTATCGCCACAATATTACCACCCTATCTTTTTTCTCAATAATATTAAATATCAAGTGGCAATATCTGCACTTCAGCGCTGTTACGAACAAGCACCTTAAATTACTTATTAGTGAGCCCAGTAAAGCTGCATAACCTTTGATAATCGCAAGTGCAATGAGAAAATAAAACTTGCAAATACTTGATTTGTTTACCTACATTTTTTTTTTAATAGCGCAAAATTTTGCATGAATATGCAATTATTAATAACATTTATCAACTTGAAGGCGAAGCGGCCGCTTGGTTTAACTAACACTAGCGACCAATAAAGCAGTTGCTATCGAATTGCCAATGCTATGCAGCAAAAAAAATCGACCAAATAAACAATAAAACTATTTCAATGTTCCGAATTTGAATCTTCCACTTGTAGATGAGGAATCTCACGGCATTGCATCTGCACAACGGTCGCTAGAAATAAACAAGTTGCCCAGCTAATGCTAAAGGCAGCTGTTTTATTATTCTAAATCATATTTTGTACTGATGCGGAAATGCCCAACTTTCAAAAAATTAGTTTTTACGCAACGCCATAGTTGTTTCTCTGCTTAAGTAAGAGATTAGCGGCGTAATATTTGGAGATAACTACTACTCACTCTTTCAATTGAATAATTTACCTCACAATCGGCTAGGTAGTTTTAAAAAAAAAGTGAAAAAATTTCCAATAAACTTTTAACAATTTGACTTTTCATTAATCCATAAATTTATCTCTGCTGAAGCATGAGAATATCCTCATAGGCACCGAGTATTGCGATAACCGGTTTTTCAATTGATCCCTTAAAATCAGACTTAGTTAGAAGCTTTTGAGAAGTAGTTTTCGAGAAGTGAAAAAATTTCTAAAAAACGGTAGAAATTTCAAAAAATGGACTTTTTGTAAAGTCCATGCCAGCTCTTTTTACAAAAAAAAGGAAGAACAGTTTACACAGGATAGATCTAAGCTTCATGTTTCTTTGAATGAACCACCAATCTCAGAATCAACAGGTTTTTTCAAAAAAAAAATTCCAAAAAACCGGCTGATTTTCATAAATTGGACATTATCGAAGGCTACAATTTTTTTTTCAAATAAAGGGCATAGATGCTTGCGCACAGAAAATTCGCACAAATGATTTGAATAATTTTTCGGGTGGGTCATTAATCTGAGATTTGGCATGGTGAAGTAATTTTTTAAAGTCAAATGTTTCAAAACACGGTCGAAAAATCAAAAAAAAAATTATTTTTTTCTAATGCTTAATTTTTTACTAAGAAAACAAGGGCGGAGTCATTTGAGCAAAAAAAATTGCTATCACTTGTTCTTCCGATTGAACCCTTTACCTCAGATTTGGCGAGAAATTTTCGAGGACAGTTTCAAAAATTAACCAAAACTAACCAAAATGAGCTTGTTTTTACTACCATTTAGGGATAAGAGGCTTATAAAGGGGAGCTTTCAATAAAATCAGATTTGAGCAGTTAATATTTGAGAAATTGAAAAAACATAAAAACAAATAGGTCAAAAATGCTCTTACTGAAACGTCCGCAGGCCGTAGAACGTGGTGTAAAATTCAAAGCGACCAGCGAAAGATGCAGGTAAAAAAAAACAAATCCCATAAATTTTCATAAAACCTGTTTCCTTCAAACAGGGACTAACACGAGCGAAAAATATAGCAGCCACATATGCTACTAAATTGCCTTTGCTAAAATATAGTTAAATTGAAATATACCAAAAAGGCCACCAAATGAGCACTTTTATTTGCAACTTAGGTTGAAAAAACAAGTTTCTTCACAGTAATACACTACGCTCCGCAAGCCGCTTGTGTAATCAAACAACAGTATCCTATGGCTATGCAATTAGATCCAAATGTTCCGGCCATAGCAATCTTAATAAAAACTAGAAAACAAAGTTTTTTTTTAAGTAAATTTTGAAGAAATGGCTGAGGACGAGCAGAATGAGGGTTTAAAAATCAAGGTTCAAATAAGACTCATATTTTAGCCAAAAACACTTATACAGTGCTGACCTTTCACCACACTGCTAAAAACGAATCTGAACAACAAAAAAAATGGACACCCTCAATCGACACTCTACTAGGGCTTTAATAAGATACCAATCCCAGCTTTCTGAGGCAGAGAAAATCGGATGAAAAAAATCCAGCCTATGCCACAACTGCTTCTCACTTTACGAGACAGGTCGGAGCAAATAGTACACACTCACTTGGGTTCAAGAATTCACAAATCAGCACATAAGTAACTTAAAAGTTAGCTAAACCTTATAGACTTGGCGCGGAAACAACTCATTAAGACTTCACTTGAACCCCTACCCAAGTACACCAATTGCGTTTTTACTGGATAAGTCCCTCTTAAAATCTTAACAACACAACACCTCATATCTTTCAACCAAGAAAAAACTTGAAATAATTTTATTTCTAATAAATACAAACTAACATGCTAGATTGGACATTCGCTCGCTACATTGAAATACAACACTTACACAGCTTACACTAAAAAATATCATGAAGTAGTTCAGATCAAATAACAAAATCTCTTAGAAACTCAACAGGAAATATTGTACACATGGATACACATTATCTAAACTTTACTGCAACATCGCTCGAGTCGTCTATTTTCTTTTAGTATATAACAGCATTGCCCAATACTTTACGCACAAAAACAGATCATCAATTTTGAGGCAATATGGTCATTCACAGCTTCCAAAAAATTAGTTTACATAATTTAAAAAGCATCGACGAAATATCCCGACACTGTCTCGGTACTCAAGTTTAAGTATTTCACTCAATTTTAAGTATTTGATTTTGATATTTCCAATCATTCTTTGTTTCTTCTTCGTTTTCTCAACTGGATGTACTATTTTCAGTCTGGTTTGAGCTTGCACCTGCTGCGTCAGCCGTGCCGGTGTTATTTTCATTACCCCCACTTTGAGTATCGCCAGTTGAAGAGTATTCAGGGGGTGCGATCACTTCCACAAACTTTTCCTCCTCAGCCGCATTGGGTTTGAAGCCATACATGGATGAGAATATCTTGGAATTCTTGATAGAGCCCATGCCACTTATCATGCCTGTGCTGAGGTTGGACAATCCACTCTTGGTGTATGAGGCCGCATTCTTGCTCCCTAAATTAATACAATTACACAACGAGTCGCGGACAGTTTGGACAGAACCAATTAAACAGAGCTAATTGTTTTTTTTTGAAATAAGAATAAATTACACTTACAAAATCCTTAAAAAATACTAAAAATACAATTATTTACAAAAAATGAGTCTTCAGAATGCGCTTAAAAACTTCTTCGGACGTCGTCGAACTTCTTCATCGAACATCTTCTGGAAATTTGTTCCAAACAGCAGCAGCAGAAAAAAAGTTTGCTGGATATATCGTGTTTTTTCTCTTACTTTGAGTAGCGATTTGCCAGTTCTTTCAAAATGCAACCGGATCCACAACACGTTGCAGAGTTAATAGGCACGTGGTTGCGCAAAAATTGAAAAACAAGCGTTGCAAATTTGAAATTATTTCGACATTTATTCAGCAGCTATTAAAGCTCGGTTAGAGCCCGAGATATATGAGCTCTATGTTTCAAGCAGAAAATGAAACGAGCTGCCGCATTCTAAGCGCGCTGAATTTCAGAATCCTGATAAGCAGTCAAACTAAAATAGAAGCTGTTACAGCAATAAGCCTTGAAATAACAAAAAAGCGAGCTAAAAAAGTTGCGTTTTCAAATAAGACACACTTATTACGTATTCCCCAGAGTTGCGTTAGTTGCCACTAACATAGTTTAGTAGCAGGATTGATCTGTTCGTTTATTGATAACCTGCTATCAAGAACAACTCCTAAGTTTCAGGCCTTTTTTATTTCAATATTTTCAGCTGAAATTGTCACATTCAGTCTTGATTTCTTTGATATGACAAGCAGTTCAGATTTCTCTGCAATAAAGGCTAGTCCTTAAGTGCCAAACGCATCTTTTAACCGACTGATAAACTTATCGATCATCACCACAAAGACGCTCGAAGATCGACTTAAGGCTTTTTTCGTGGTATGGAACATTCATTTCTCTCAATAACCGCCGACAACAAGAAGATCAATAATGATCAGAAGAGGTCCCAGTACGTCGGCTGTTGGCACCCATCTCTATATTTTTCGCCTGAACAAGTTTTCGCCCTCACTTCTAACTACGTTACTTCTGTCGGTAACGTAGCTTTCCAGCCCGGTGAGTTCTTTGCCCCTTATGCCCAATCTATTTCGCAAAAATGAAAGCATAGAACTGTGATGCATAATATCAGAGGCACTGCTAAGGTCACTACAAACTAATAGCACATTTTAATACCACAGATAATTAATCAAAGCTTTAGCTATATCTGTCTCTCAAATGTTGCTGAGTACAGGAACCTTCGAAAGTTTTTGAAAATGACTGAACTGAAGTGATGCTTTCTTCAACCTTAGGGATAAGTGGCTAATTTTCAGCAGGTCTCGCGTAAAAAAATCTTCTGCCGACATATTGTCAGCAAGCATGCCAAATTGATCACGTTCCGTTTGAGAGCAGTCTCAAAAAATTGTACGCGCGACGACCGGTGTTTAATCGGAGTCACTAGTGACACATAAGCTCTGCAGAAACCAGCTGCGCTCTTTTTCTCTAAAAGAACACAAGCTTCCCGCTTGTATTTCGACAAACTCTGTAAGGAGCAAACAATTTTCATCAGCTGCTCCGCTCTTTTCTTAAATGATTCTGAGCCACTACATCGCCATCAACCAAATAAGCTTTCTTTGCGAACCGTTTTCACAAAAGGGTAGTTGGTGGACATCGTCTTCTCTACACGTTATAATGCGTTTTCTAGAATCCTAGAAGTCAAACATGTCTTTAGTTCCTTTTCGAGTGCGCTGGCGCTTCAAACATGGTCTCAACTCCATTACTTACTGATTAGCTGCACCAGTGTCTTTTCCATATTCGTAAAAAAGAACATAAGGCAATGATCACTGGGATTACAATCACCAGCGAAAATATCCGCAAAGCTCACGCCTGGTAAGCACAGAATTTGATCAAGTCTAAAACCACAGCGATGAGTTGAAAAAGACAATATCTGTTCAGTTCCTGTCTGGAGCATGGCATCGAGGATCTTCTCTGTTTCTGATGTTCTGAAGTAATGAGGATTGTCGAAATGAATGTTAAAATCAATAATTCACGTTAAAAGCGATAACGCATTACTAAATTAAAAAATTCTGGAAAGAAAACCATGAAAGAGACCGACAGGGGTCGATAAAGGAGGCAAATGAAAATCGGATCTCTGCCTGCTATAATATCCTATAAAAGAAACATTAAACTGTCAGTTTCACCTTTTCGATGTTTGCTTGATAATTTGTGTTGTAAATCAAAAGTAAACCATCTTCTTTTTCATTGTTCAGATTAGCACTCATGAATCATACTCTTGTGGATTAGAGCCAACTGAATTTGATTCATCATTCTCTTTATCTATACTCCATACCTTGGTGAGAATTAAAAAATTAAGATCCAAAGATTTAATGAGGCTACGTACATGCAAAATCGAGAAATGGCATCCCACAGACAGCATATTGCATTTTCTGCTTTTCAGTTAATCTTTCTTCGCGGTGTTCAATTACGCTTCCGCATCTTCATTGGGTCTTAACTGCCGCTAAACAGCTCTTTAGGGCCGGAAATCACTGATTTTACTCGTATGGTTAGAGTAAAAGCAGTTAAAAGCCTTGGCTATTGCGTTCTCCTTCGATACAATTCGAACTGTTATGGAATTCATTGACTTATTTTTTCCAAGGTCAATCACTATTTGACATGTTACTCCAGTATTACATTAACCGATACACCAACGCCTGACGAACGATAGCTTCTCAGCTGCCGAGAAATCATTGCAGGGCTTTTCAGTTTCCTCCTTAAATTGGTTCACTCATAGCTGCTTGGGTTCGCCTGTTTTTCGTTTCTTTCCGGTCCCATCCGACGTTGATTCAGCACTGGAATTCGTACGAAAACTTGCAGCACACTCCACTCGTATAATTTAGCTGAAATTGGGCTGCTTCTCTGCGCCAATTTGCTTTTCATCTTTCTGAAACACTGAATCGTTCTCTATTGGTTCCTGTTTGATTTCTTCGACATCAGTTGCTAGACTTCAGACCTTTGCCGGTAGCCTGTTGCTTAAGAGAACATGGCAGAAGTTGCCGTTGAACAAACCGCCATGTTCAGCAAATTTTCACAATATTTGATGGTTGATATTTGAATCTAACGCTGTCAAAATAATTATCTGTGAGGCTTTCCGGTATTGAAATAAAAGAAAGATGAATTCTTCGATAAGAAAGTCTAGTTAATCGGTTGATGCCCGCTGAACATTCAAAATCAAGAATCGTTCCAGTGTCAGGTAAATACAACCGGACCTCTAAAATCCATTCGTAGACAAGGGCTGGGCTACCCAGTTAACAATATCCGGTGGGTCAAAACATAACACATCTTTTTAATAAGTGAATTACAAAAATTAGGCTAAATTGCAAGTAATTTTGGTAGTTTGAATGACCTTGAATCATGCGACAATAGCTTCTACATGAAAAAAAAATCCGAAATAGATGCAATGTTTTGCTTCAAGAAGTTCGCTGCCCGAACTTTTTGCAACTCAATTAAAAACATAGCTAATTGAAGATTGGAAAAGAGTAATAAACGCAAGTAAACATTAAAAAAACACTGACTTTGTTGGAAAAAACCTCATTTTTCAAACTTCAACGAGAAAAATAGATGCCCTTTAAGCTTTTTGGGTTTCTAGATTGATTTGTGATTGGCGCTTTTTCGATAACATTAACCCAACTTGAGAAAACTGGATCAACAGGTAAAGTTTTTATTCCGCTGGAAATCTAAAAATTGAATTCTACTTTCGAAACTAGAAACAGTGACGTTTTTTCGCGCCATTTCCACGTTAGTAGTTAGAGAGTGCTATTTACGTCAATTTTAATAGATGAATTTCAATTGACTCAAAAAGTGCATAGATACTTAAGTGCATTCATAAATGCATCAATATGTATGAATGCACATCTGTAGTTATTAGAGACTTAGACTTTTCCTGAAAAAAAAACAAGAAAAAATCAGCAAAACCTATATAAGAGTCTCTACCACGTTCATTACTCTTAATTATCTTCCAGATAAGGAGGTGACAAAAATTAACATTTTGATTTTCCGAATATGACGAAAGTTTGAAACAAAATCCATTCATGCGTACCTTCGAGTAGGTAGGAGTTTCCGAAGTACTTGACGTTCTCGGACGTCTTCTGCACTGTCTCGGAGGAGGCGATGTTTTTCAGCCCACTCAAACCCCCATACAAACTGTCGCTGATCAGCTGGATGGGAGTGATGCCCAGTTTGCCACGAATGTCATTCGCCTTCTTCTCCTAGGCGTATAAGATTCGTATAAAACTAACATCCTACATCCCAAACAAACCTCCTTATATCCTTCATACCACTAATCCAATAAAGATTAAATCAACCAACAACTAGAAGTACACGTAATTTTTTAAAAACTTTTTAAAATTTTCGAATTTTAAAGAAAAATAGTATGCTCTTAAAGCTCTGTGAATTCCATGAACAATTTATTATTGGCGCAATTGAGAAGTTGCATACAAAAATTAATAGGTGGAAACTGGATCAAAAGGTAAATTTTTAATTCCGCTGGAAAACCTGAAAATTGAAATCACTTTCGAAACTAGAAATCGATCATGAGCTTGCCAGGAAAAAATATATGACTTGCCAAGAATGAAGCAAGACCTAAATGGGAGTCTTCGCTACGTTCAGTGACTCATAATTGGAACAAATTTTATACACTTCCGGTTAATTAGCAACAAAAAAATGTAGCTGATGATGAAAATAAATTCAAAGCAAGTTGGCTATTTTGGTTGAATCTTAGAATGAAATTGGATCAAATCCAAATCAGCATTAAAAACCAAGAGAGAAGCGTTTGCAAATATGAAAATAACAAAACTTAGACGTGTAAATTCCGTTATCATGAGTCCCTTCCCTACAACAAAATAAAAACAAAAATCGAGCCCGATGGAACGAATTGAAGCTAAAAGACTTGCTGCCTGATACACCGACAAGCAAAGAGTTTTAAGAACCCAAAACGCGAAGTTTTTTAAGAAGGGGAGAGTGGAACCAGTTTGAAACTAGTTATTTTTTTTATATTCTAATTTAATAATTATATTCCAAAATATTCATAGCTAGCCAATCATAATTAATAACTGAATCTTACTCTATACTTGTAAACCTGAAAAGCTAGTGGTTTAGAGAACTAGGAATAAAGATTGAAATCACTTGACTTCTTCTCTCATCTAACTTCGCAGTAAACCAGTATATCTCTAGATCTATTGGGACTACGAAATATAAGAGTAAGACTAGAATTAATATTAGACTAAGGAGTTGCACGAACCTATCCGGCCGAAAAAAGATAGCGTGACGAACAGACGGTGTACCCTATAAGAAATTACTCTATGAGAAGGCCACCCCGGACCTAAACTCATGAGTTAGGAGATGGTTCAATGAAAAACGCGGAAAATAAAAGCTAACCTTGACATGTAGAACTTGTTTGAGCGTGTTTATCTCGTCCTCTAGTTGAGTCAAGTCCTGCCTCAATTCATCTGACGTCTTCTCTGGCTCTCCGTTCTCCATCTGCCAGTCTTGATCTATGCCAGACGACGCACCAGCACTGTCGAAAGAGAGAAATCCCGCGCCTCCCTATGTTAAAAAAGACTCATAAAAAACAAGAAACTACCTTTGCAGTGGATCCTTTACCCACCACCCCCCCCCCCCCCCCCCCAACCCATGCATGATTTTAACTTTGAAACTATTGCTCGGGTAGATCAAATTTTGGGTATTTTGCATATTTTCCAAAATGCACACTTGGTCTTCTTAGCAAAAATTGGTCTTCATGCATAACCTTGGCTCAACCACCAAATTCATTTTTAATGGGGATGGCGAAATAGGGCGACGGTAAAAGAGCCATTGCTGTCTTAAGTGCTCTAGACGTTGTTCGTAAACAATAGGGCCAATTATTAAAATATCGAATTTGTAAATCACGCTTAGGAGAATTGGCGGATGCATAGAACAAATGATAAATTGAATCGTTTGTTAAACACGACTCTTGAAAATGCAGAAGAATAAAAACAGCAGCTATTCCAAATTGAAAAATAATTGTTCCCGAACTAAACACTTTTACATATTACTTATCTAATAGCGTTTCTTTGACTATGAGACTGAAGCAAAAATTGCGGCTAAAATGATCAAATGGTACAAACGATGTAGCTATGCTCAGCAAAAATTATAGTTTAATCATATCAAGTAGGAAGACTTAGTAGCAGCTAATTGCATTAATTTTTGCAAATTTCTTTTTATAATACAGATCAAGATTCATCATTAAATATAAACGCTCTGTGTTTGTATAGATTTTAGGCGGCAATTAATCCAATAGAAGACAGTTGTTTCCTTCCTGGAAATCCTAATAACTACTTGCTGCTAAAAAACTAAATGTCGCGTAAATGTCAAAGCCGATCAACATTTGAAATTTCTAGAATAAAACTTCCGCAGATCGAAAGAAGCGTTTAATACCCCCTAAAAAACAAGTGCAGTCACTACACAAACATAACTACACAAAAATTTTTGCGCCAGAGGCAAATTAAAAAAAAAAAACAGGTCAAATTTGCAGTTTTTGGGTCTTTTTTGGAAAATTTTGACCAAAAATTGCGTCGTTTCGGCTCGCGCTCCCCTTCAAAATTAGTATATATTGGCGCCGTGAGAAAACTTAGGGTTGGTCAGCCAAAAATGGAAGTAATAAAATAATGCCAAAGGGAGGACCCTTTGGTTTCTGAGTAGCGCCCCCCCCCCCCCCTAAATCCGCCCCTGAGTGCAGTAATTTGCTGTGCATGTGGTCCAGAATGTTACACTCACAGTATTCGATGCTGAAGTTTTAAGCATTAAACAAAAATATGCCGCTTTTTTGCCTGTTTTTTGGGGTCATAAGCGAAGTAAAACTCAGCTTCAGGAGTTGCAAAAAATACCCGGCTGTATATTACCTTGAAAAAAAAAGATACAGAATCAGACCGTTACTCAGCAGAAAATTTTTAAAGTAACCTTTAAGAATCCGCGTCACTTAAGTGCTTTAATAACGCTCTTTGAAGTTGTGGTAGTTGCCCGAAATGAAACAGCCTAAGCCATAGTCAATTCTCATTCTATGAATGGTCGTAAAAATAAACATTTTTTCGGTGATATGTTACAATAGGTGCTGATTGAGTATAGTGCATATATTAAATTTGAAAACTATAATGCATAATACAGTCATTTCAATTCACTCAATAGTACATGCTACTTCGATAGTTTTTGTGAATACACTACTCTGTCAAATGAAATTTTTTTTCAAAAATTGAAGTTATACACTTCTTTCGCCAAAAAATGGCTTTTGAAGTAAGTTAAAAATACTATTCGAAGTATAACAAACAGCGATCCAGCTATTAACATGAACCTGCCACCTATTGTAATATATCACCAAAAACAGTTCGGCTTGAAAGAACACCAAACACTATCAACCTTACGTGTGACAACTCAATGAACCAAACCTATTCCCATTCTCACACACACGAGGCGAAGCGGAGCAGCTATGACCGAGTGGGTAAGGCACGACCATTCAACTGCAACCGTGTTAACTTATTACTATTTAAACGTAAAAGCACATGCAATCAAAAAGCTGTAAAGGTGCTCCACCATTATTGGGGTGCCGCACCAATATTTGCGACTTAGGTTGGAAAAAAAGGCTCGTACTAATACACTAGCTTCGCAAGTGTAAGCACTGTTTGAAGTACAACAAGTAACGATCCAGCTATTAAATTTGAACCTTCCTTCTATTGTAATATATCACCAAGTATTCTACTAGTTTACATAATGACACTAAAAGAACTCAATGAGGTACCGCATCAAGCTGTTCTCATATTAGGATAACTATTAAACATTAGAATCACCTTGAGTCTGTTAGATTTAGGGTTTAACTACTTTCTAATTACAAAACCAAGAAAAAACGGAACTTTTTGTTCGAACGATATTCGGTGATTGCAATGAGCATTAGTTCAAATCACGAAAAACCGTTTGATAAAAAGTTTCCAAAATCATGTTCTTGGATTAGAGTTATTGGAACAGACACAAAAATGATAGAAAAGAAGAAAAAATCATAGGGGTTGGAAAAAAGTCAAAGAACTTAAGGATACCGAAAACCGATTGAACGTCTTTGAACATAGCCAATCGAAGATTGGAAAAGAGTAATGAACGCAAGTAAACATAAAAAAACACTGAATTTCTTGAAAAAATCTCATTTTTCAAATTTCAAAGAGAAAAATAAATGCCCTTTAAGCTTTTTGGGTTTCTAGATTGATTTGTGATTGGCGCTTTTTCGATAACATTAACCCAACTTGAGAAAACTGTATCAACAGGTAAAGTTTTTATTCCGCTGGAAACCTTAAAACTAAATTCCACTTTCGAATCGAAAGTAGAAATCGTTCACGTTTTTGCGCCATTTTCACGTTCGTATTTGGAGAGTGCTATTTATTTCGTTTTCAGCAGATGAATTTCAATTGAACTCAAAAAGTCCATTTATACCTAAGTGCATTCATAAATGCATCAATATGTATGAATGCACATCTGTAGTTATTAGAGACTTTTAAGACTTTTCCTGAAAATAACAAAAAAAAATCACAAGACCTATACAACAGTCTTCACTACGTTCGTTATTCTTTAAACATTCTCTTTAAATTTGAATAGTCTTTTATGATTGATACTTTTAGATATAAACTAACCCAATTTGAGAAAACTGTATCAATACGAACTAAAAACAACAGTTTGCGCCATAAGCACTTTCGCTATTGGTGAGCGTGAATTGCCTTCTTTTAGCACAGTTATTTGAATTGAACCTTCTAAATCAAATTAACAGACAATAAATTTATTCTTGGACAACTTGTCAATTTTTTTCTGAAAACATGACCTGAATGTTTTTCTTCACTTCGCTCATCATTGACACTAAAAAACTTTCAGAAAATTTTTTCAAAATATTTGCTAACTTTTGACAAAATTTTTAAAAAGCCAGTGTCGAAAAGGGTGCTGAAAGGGTGCTCACTCGAGCTCCAAGAACTGGTTAAAAATATGCACAGACGGCATATAACAAAAATTGATTTTTTAAATGGAATTGAATGATGTATCCCTTCTTCAATGACGTTTAATTGCAAAATGAATGGAGTCCAATCTAATGTCACTCTACTACAACAGAAGCTTTTTTGCCTTCCCTACATTTTTTTGCAAAAAAAATGTAGGAAGGACAAGGAGACTGGTCTGCTCTAGACTCTGAAAATAATAGACAACTATGCAGACAGTAATGCAAACAAAAGCGCGGAAATGTGTACAAAAGCATGTGGCCGAGCATTTACTCAATCAAGACAAGGTTGCAGAAAACAAAAGATCCAGTCTGAAAAAAGGCAAAAATAGCAAACAAAACTCAAAAAATTAAGACAAAAAACGTTCAAAACAATTATCTTAAAAATATGCATTGTTTAAAAGCATTGAATCAGTGTAATTGATATTGCTTGATTTCTAAATAGTTTATCTGGCAAAATTTACATCTGATTCGATGCTATCACAAATATGGATGTCTAATAAGTTTCATGACCAATTGTCTGTTCCCTTGATTGTAAAAAATTCGCTAGTCGTAGACAAGCAAGTCGTACTAAGAACCCAGTCTTTATGTTAAAAAACAATGTTCCTACTGCTCTTTAACGTGTTAATTTTTTGAACAAAAATGATTACGCTATCAACATATTTGCAAATTTGTCGAACCTACATAAAGATTAAATCCCCTTTCTACCCTATAATACTTATTAAAGAATCCCTCATCGAAAAACAATTTATCACTTGATTGGTCAAATGTAATAGATACATCATTTACAGCTTTCAAGCGTTTCGAATTTTAATTTTCCTGCATTCTGATTGATCTAAAATTCTCGAACTTAAATTAATTCGTCGGAATAAAAAATGACTTTTTTAAAAAATACTTCAAGTTTTTTAAAAAGTGGAAATTGAAGTGAATTATATCCAACGTGACCGCCCCGGACGCACAAGGAATAACAATGAACAAAATTTACAATTTCCGTCAAACATACTTATGGTATCTACTAAAAAAATTATCCCCCTTTAAGAAACAATTAATTAACCAGCACTTTTTTTTGCTCAGACTTTCAAAAAGGCGAGGAAAAAATATATTTCTGTGGTGTTTTTTTTCAAACTCAGACCAGTTTTACAAAAGTTGAGAGCATATGGGTATCGATTCGGAAATCTTTGGATTGCCAATCGAGTATGCTTGCACTAGACTAAAATGCGGATGGCATTGCTGCTCGAATAATATTTTGATAGTTTCAATACGCAAAGTATTTAAGCGTGGTAAATTATCCGGACTCCTAATTGTTCAAAAAGGAATTGAGGCCGACTTAATTTGTCAAATAATTTCTACTCAAGTTTTAGCACTTGCATTTGATATTGGCAGTACAAATTTGTAATTTATCAATTTTTTTCAAATCAAAAATTACTCGAAATAGGTTAAGGGGCAGTCGGAACATTCAGGGCTTCGACCTGATATACGAGCAATCTTGTCTTTCTCTAAGTTCATATAAATTTTAAATATAACAACTGTTGCACTTTGAGCTTTCTAGCTTTTGAAAATTCAATTTTCCTTCATTCTGATTGATAAAAATTTTGCGAGGTTTAAACTAATTCATCGACTAATTTGAAAAAGGGGGTAATTGTAAGGAATATATACCCGCATATAGGAATCAGGAATTTGTCTACCATACACAAGCAATATCAAGTAACAAGTGATGTAATGGTACGTCAAAGTGCGTCAAATGGGTACTATAAAAGGAAAAACACTGCGAAAAATTTTCAAAATTATACTTACTTCTCTCAAAATCACGGTTGAAAGGGCTTTATTATTTTGTTTCATTCGACCCATTCCAATGTCTTTTGTCTGATTAGGCGTGGGAAAAAATTCGAAACACCTGAAGACAAAGTTATTCCCCAATTTCAGTGGTCGGAATAAATACTCACAAAATCAATGAATAAAACTATCATTTTTTATCAAAGGTTTGCTTAAGAAAACCAAGTCAGCAAAACGTACAAACCAAATCACTCCAATAAATTAGTCAAATTAATCATCTTCATAGAAAAATTGAAGAAATGACGGAAACTAAATGGCATATACTATACAAAAATTCATCTCGATCGTTAATGCATATTCAAATAAACAACTTGAATTTTCATTTGAATTCCAATTCTTTTTAATGGCAAAACTAAGTCAAAAGTTTGAATGAAAAGCAATATAAATAGTAAAAATGAGATTTAAAATTATCTTTAAAGTAAGTCTATCTACCATTTGCAAGCGCTGATACTGGGACTTATTCCAAGATTTTGCTGCTTTTTTACACACAAAATAGCTAGAAGAACGTAGATTCATATTTGATATTTAGAAATTGTCAAAAAAAGAAAACAAGTTTTTTGTTTGCAGGCAAATTGAATTGGTATCTAAATATTTAAATCTTAGTGAACATTTTAAAAAAAATTTATCTAAGGCATAGCTGCAGGGGCGCATTCAAGGCTTGGCTGCAGCGGCGGATTCACCCACCAAACAGTGCCAGCTTTGGCATTAGCTTACACAGAGGCGCACAACTTGCCATACAACAAAAACATAAAAATCATGCGAAGTCGAAAAAAAGAGAAAAATTATGAAAAAAAAACTAGGTCTACCAAAATTTTAAATTTCTCGATATCTCTCGATAGAATTTCATTCCAGTCAAAAACCCCAGGAATTTGAATATTAAATTAGCAACGGAACAAAATTTACGTTCTTTGAGCAGACACAAAAATTGATCCAAAAAATATAATGTAAAAAAAAGTTTCAAAAAATTTCAAAAAAATGATTACACAATTCATTGTGTAGTACAAAAAATGAATTCAGTCCCACCTGAAACTACAATAAACAACACTTGCAATTATGAAAGTAGCCTACAGCCAAAGAAACATCAGTAATGTAGCAAGTACGCCGACAAACTTTGAGCAGGCACCAGTTGAGCCGGAAAAAAAAAGAGTTTATGTAAAAAAAATATATATATTTCAAGTTCCCCCAGATACTAGAATGAACAACACTGTTAATGAAAATTGCTCACAGCACAAGAAAAATCCGTAACATGGCAACTTAGCAGACAATGGAAACTCCGACAATTCAATTTTAACCGATTTTTTCTTACAAAATGAAAAAACAAAGTCCAGCTGAGATGCGAACCCCAGACCTTAGAATGCAAAGGCAACGGCGTCACCCCTGGGCGAATTGGAAAGAAACCTGAAAAGTTTCAGCGTTCAATGTTAAAGAAAAGATTTGTTAAAAGAACGAGTAAAGAAAAGAATTTGAGCCTAAACAAAAATTGTTGTCATAAAAATTTTGAAGCAATAAAGTTTTCAAACTTTTTATGGAACTCATAAAAGCATACAAATATATTTTTAACCTCGAAACTGCGCAAGATAATTTGATTAAGCTGAAATAAAATATGCCAAAATACCTTAAAATCGGGAAAAAAAACAAATCACAAATTTCATAGATTTTTTATTGATTTAAACAGTTTCTACTATGATTGAAACTTCTGTAACTTGATTTTTTTTTCGTTTTTTCCCGATTAAACGGTTTCGGCTTATGTTTTAGCAAAGTCAAATTAAATTGCGTACTATCAAACATAAGTTTGTTATTGATTTGAACAGTTTATTCTATGCTTTGGAAAGTAAGCCTAAAAAAACGTTGCAGATAACACAAACTAAATTTTAAAAAAGGAAAATGAGCCAACGGAAACTAGGACAAAAACCACGAATACGAAAAAAAACAATCTTTTTTTCTAGAATTTGATTTGAAAAAAAAGCTATTACATGACTTCCATTAAATACTATCTAAATGATATTAGTTGTATATAAATTTTTCAAAAAGTGCCCAAAAACAATATTTTAGACCTGTTTTTTTTTTGAAATTTGCCAGCGGTACAAACATTTTTTTGGGTCAAAATAGGGTATTTATAGTATTTTGGGATTGCTCGGAAAATCAATTTGGTCGACCTACAAAAAAGCTGACAAAATTTCGAAAAAAAAAATCCTGAAAATGGACCCCCCCCCCCCACTTGGAGAAAATCCTATATCCGCCCCTGCATGGCTGTAAAATCATGCTAATAGGATTGACGATTTTTTTTCTATGTACAGAAGTCAGTCTGCGTAGGAGCTTTACTTTTCGCAACTATGCAGACTATAACGGACACACGTAAAAATTATATTTCCAGGAGAATTTGTATGAGTTTAAACACATCTTAATATTTAGAGGATGTGAATATTGAAATGTATATGGATTAGTATTTGCGAAAAACCACTTCTCTCCATCTTCGTATCAATTTTACGGAGCGTTCAATTTTACAAAAAGGGCAAATGCTATTCAATATTCAGCCATATGATTTGTCACCTATGAACCGATTACTGTGGATTAACCTTACCTCAGTAGCAGAAGATAGTCCATTATCCGCAGTTGCACTTGGATTCATTGCAGTGACGTCTGAGGGTGTAGGGTTCATTCCACTGTTGCTATCAATCTGTTGATGTTCTCACGTGCGCCAGCAGTAAGGATATTCAGCGATTAAAGAATAATAGAAATGAGAATCACTAATTAGATTTTAAAAGTAGCACCACTTTGAATGGATACACCACAAAAAAAACAACAACAACAACAGCAGCACAACTCTATCGAATGTATTATATAAATTAAATGGTTGCAGTACTGCAACACCAAAAAGAGATACGACAAAGTATAGGGATTTCAGTGAGCCACTTTGTTGCAGAAAGCGAGAAATTTACCTTTTTCCCCTCAGTGGTAATGGTAAAAGATACAGGCAAAAGGAGAGATAAGTTATCAACGGACCGGAATTCCAATTCAATGGATCTGCGACATTAAAGCTTTGCCTATTTATCTTTTCCTCATTATTTTTCAATGTCGAATGTAATCAGAATTAATCCCAAATCGGCTATCTCTCGGCGAAATTGCGTGTTTTATTAACAAACGGACAAAACGGGTGAAATAAATGGAATGAATTAAATGAACAGTGTCCTATTTTTCAGTCCCTTCTTACCACACTCACTCACATAAACTAGTCAAATAACAAGAGATGGTGAATCGATAACGGGAATAAATTTGGATGGCAAGTGCCTTGCCTGAGTCTGTTTCAACTTTGGGCGCACTGTGGGAATAATTTAAATAGCAGAAAACCTGCGAATTATCCGACTCAGAGGAGGAAAATAGCTAACCAGAGGGACTTGATAGGAAAATCGAATGATATGTTTTTGGATTGTGTAAAATCAGGATATTGTTTAGAAACAATGCAGTGCTCCCAATAGCCAGCAGCTGGTTCCAAAAATGTGATGTCTGGCTCGGAAGTAGCAAAAAATAATAATCTAGTTGAATTTGTTTTCCAACGACTGAACGAACAGTTTACATCAATTTATCTGAAAAGAAAACAATTGAGAGACCGAATAAAGGGGATCACAGAACTGAGCAATTAGATTAAAAAAGGCACGGCTATTTAAAAGGCACGACTACTCTGATTGAATGGTTTTTGATTGAATGCTTTACTTTTTCTGACTCCCATTTCTGATCAATCTGACACATCATTTCTTACACTCGCATTTCTGACACACATTATTTATGCTAACTACAACTATTTCTGATTAATGATAATATTTCCACTCATTCTCCTTTATCTGTCAAAAGTTCTACTTATCATTTTTTTCAGGTTTCGTCTGGTTTACATTTTAGTCATCAAGTGTAAAGCTAATAAATGACCAACTAACCAATCAAAATTTATTCTGGTTAGTATCAGTTACGTCATTATGTTAGGATTATGAACTTAAAAACTTGCGCCCTGGTTGCTAATAAAAACTAATTTTGAGGGGGAGGTGCGTCGCAAAAAATTCTCTTTGCACGCGGCGCATAAACTTCTAGAATAAATTATGTACTTTGATCATTTCAATAGAGTTTAAATTATTTATTTGGCAGAAAACCAATCAAGAAAAACTTTTTGAAAAAATCCCCGCTAGTAAACCCTAGAACTTCAAGTAGTCCAGTGTTTCTGTAACAAGAATAGCCCCGAAAAAAACGAGTGAAGTAAAAATCAACCCAAACAGCGCGATGAAAACGAATCGAAATCAAACTTAAATTCAAAGGGGCATCAGGATAAAACTAAACTAAACGGTCAATGACTGATTCTAGTAATTACTAATAAACTGCACGTGACGTTCTTCATCTAAGTAAAGAGACAAGCGACTGACTTAGCATGGTTACCGGGCAAAATTTTCCGTATGAACTAAAACTATCACCGCCCAGACTGGCCTAAAAAAAGATAAAAACGCTCTAAATTGGCGAGCCTCAATGGTAAATCAATTAACTTTTGGGAGATTGGAAGTTTCAGGAAGTTTTTTTTTCGAAACGTGTTAGATCAGTACTCGAGTCAGGGGAAAATGAAGAGCGAATGAAGTAACTTTCGGTTATCACGATAACTGACCTTCCGATAATATGTAATGGGATTATAAGGATGATGATCATCATGATTTTGATGAGATCGTAATATGATAACGACAATAGTTTTTAAAGATGAGGTCTTTCAGATCTTTTTTGATAACCATAAAAATTATTTTGAGGAGTTCTAATTTTTTGTTGAATATCTGAGTTTGTTGTCCTGAACTAAAGCTTATAAAACACCGCTGCTCTCCTTCGTCAAAATTATGTACTTTTCTACATCGATCAATTTTTCCGGCCATTCTTCCTGCCGAAAGAGTATCGCAATACTCATTTCCACTAGCCTGTTTTTTCCTAGAATTTTGAAAACAATTACAACTTATTCGTTGTTTCATAATGAGTTGCTTGTTTTTATATCAGAAGGTAAATCAATTCAAATTAACTTATTTCATGAACGGAGTGATTTATCACTCAAGCAGGTCGTGTAATTTTTATCCTTTTTTCAGATACCTCATGAGTTTCAGATACCTCATGAAAGGTTTCAATCAGGTATCCTTTTCAATGACATATTCTCTTTTTTCAGATAATCCAGGGAGTGATTTATCGCTAGAAAAAACTAATTTTTGGCCCAGCCATAAAAGAGGTATTTTTTTTTCCGGAAAATACCGCGAATTGAGTCAGGTGATAACAAAACTCATTTCAATTGAAAGCGGCTTTATGCTATATGCTTCACAAATCGAGTCACATTTCAGACTTGCGTCCCACCACGGATCTTTTCTCAAACAAAAACATACTAACATCATAACCAAGTTTCCAGGAGAAAACCCTTCCTCAAAAGTCATTTTATTTCACCTCCAAGCATGCATTCCCAGAACCACCCAATGGAAGCTTTCACAACTTCGGTCTGGTTACAGTCGGCTTTTAAACACTTACCTCGCCCACTTAGACAACCAAGTTTCTCTACTTAGCCTCTTGTCAACCCACACTAGTTGCGATATTTTTAACGGCCCCAGAAATCCCTCCCCTTTTACTCCCGCAGACGTTGGTGGAAACAGCGAAAATCCGTAGCCTGGAGACGGATGAGCAGAACCCGCCCAACAGGGTTAAGTGTACAAGAGAACAGAAAAAGTAGAAAAAAGAGGGCGAGCCGTCAATCAAGTAAAACGTCAAAAAACTGAATTCGAGAAATTCGGTAGGAGCAAAAGGCGTGATAGAATAATATCACGTCAAGCACGCTAACGGTTCGCTTAAGTTCATCGAGCAAAAAAGAAACTCCTATAAGGATACATGATTTACTCCGGACGACTAAGTGAGGGAGAAATCAAGGACACTAAAACGCCGATACAGCGGAGGGATTGCGTCGCAATGAGCCAAAGAAAAGAGCGCATTGAAAAGTAATAAGAGAAGACGGTCTCCAAATAAATGAAAACTGGGTTAATACTGATAAAATAAAAGAGCTGACTGTAAACAGGACATAAAAAACACTTGTGAAGCGAGAAAAACAAAGAGTTTCACTAGACAAAACTATTTGCCAAAAAAAAACAAGAAAAAAAAACTCGTTCAACTGAAAAGATGGGTGTTTCAATTCCTTTTCTAAAAATTCAGAAAAGTTCACTGAGAATCGAATTTTTAACAAACTGAACGATTCGCCAAGAACGGCATAGTGAAACCGTCACCATGAGGTTTCAGCGACAGAAAAGTTACTGCTAAAATACAGGAACACTAGGCAGCAGATCGAAATTGATGTATGATAGATTTTGAGATGGGAGTGAACGTGGCCCGATTCAAGAATATGACTATTAATTAGGGCGAATACTCTATCAAAAAAAAACATGGAGATGTTGTTGAAAGGGCCTGGCGAGTGTTTACATGAGAAAAGAAAATGTAGCAGGAATGAGGGGGGAACCCTCAAAAAACGAATTCCTTAAAGTCGGTAGGAGCAAAAGGAGTGATAAAATGCTATCACGTCAAGCACGCTAAAGGTTCGCTTAAGTTCATCGAGCAAAAAAGAAACTCCTATAAGGATACATGATTTACTCCGGACGACTGAGTGAGGGAGAAATCAAGGACACTATAACGCCGATACAGCGGAGCGATTGCGTTGCAATGAGCCAAAGAAAAGAGCGCATTAAAAATAATAAGAGAATACGGTGTCCAAATAAATTAAAACTAAGTTAATACTGATAAAGTAAAAGAGCTGTTTGTATATGGGACATAGAAAAAACACTTGTGAAGCGGTAAAAACCAAAAGTTTCACTAGGCAAAACTATTTGCCAAAAAAAACTCGTTCAACTGAAAAGATGGGTGTTTCAATTCCTTTTCTAAAAATTCAGACAAGTTCACTGACAATCAAGTTTTTTAACAAACTGAACGATTCGCGAAGAACGGCATATTGAAACCGTCACCAAGAGGTTTCAGCGACAGAAAACGTACTGTTAAAATACAGGAACATTAGGAAGCAGATCGAAACTAATGTATGATAGACTTTCAGATGGGAGTGAATGTGGCCCGATTTAAGAATATGACCATTAATGGGGGCGAATATTCCATCAAGAAAAACATAGAGATGTCGTTGAAAGGGCCTGGCGAGTGTTTACATGAGAAAAGAAAATGTAGCAGAAATGAGGGGTCCAACCCTAAAAAAAACGGATTCCTGAATGTCGATAGGAACGAAAGGTATGATAGAATGCCATCACGTCGAGCACGCTAACGGCTCACTAAAATTCATCGAGCAAAAAAGAGAAAACTTCCACACAGAACACAGACGACTGTACCGCACAGCGTCTGCGCGTAACAAAAACAAAAAGAATAGATGATGTGCAAAGAAAGGAAAACTAAATTGATACTGAGGAAGTAGAGCAGTTGACTGGAAATGAGCAATGAAAACCACAGTTGAAAAGTGGTAACAGGGTTAAAAACATTTTTACTAAGCAGAATACTATTTTCCTATAAAACCAGAAAAAAAAATCTAGCGAAGTTACTGAGAAGCAATTTGTTAACAAATTGAGCGATTAGGGAGGAGTCAAGAGCCGCATATTAAAATCGCTCAAGCGGTTCCAGCAACAGAACGAACTGCTAACATACGCGATAATCAGGCAGCAGATCGAATTTAATGTATTTCAGATGAGATTTTCAGATGAGAGTAAGTGGCTCGATTCAAGAAGATAACCGTTAATGATGGTGAATAATCCACCACAAAATATCTGAAGATGTCGTTGAGAGGGCCTGACAAAAAAATAAAGCAGAAAAGAGGGACCAACACCTCAAAAAATGGATTCCGGAAAATCAGTATGATCGACAGGCTTGATAGAAGGCTATCACGTCGAGCACGCTAAAGGCACGCTTAAGATGATCAAGCAAGAAAAAGAACTTCCATATCGATACGAGATTTACTCCAGACGAAGAGATCAACGACAATCAAACCACGATACAGATATGGGGAGGAGCCGCCAGCAGCGTTTAAGCGTAAGAAAAACAATAAAGAGGATAGACGGTGTGCATACAAATGAAAACTATAATGATACTGAGGAAGTAGAGCAGTTGAGTGTAAATGATCCAGGAATACGACAGTTGAAAAGTGATGAAAGACTAAAATAATTTTACTTGGCGAAAACTTTTTTTAAAACCAAGAAAAAAATCTTTCAATTGAATCAATTAATGATTCCTCAGTCGGTATGGGGAAGGTTTTTCAATACCTTTTTCTGACAATTCGGGCAACTTTACTGAGAATCATTGTGTTATTAACAAATTAGGCCATTCGAGAAGAGTCGAAGAACGGCATATTAAAATCGCCACCCAGAGGTTCCAGCGCAGAGTACGTACTGCTAAAAGACAGGAACATTTGGTAGATCGAATCTAAATTAAGAAACTTTTGCAGATGAGAGCGAATGGTGCTGATTCAAGAAGATGACCGTTACTGGTGGTGAAAACTCAATCACGAAAAGCCTGAAAAAGTCTTTGAAAAGGCCTGGCAAGTGCTTACGAGAA